CGGACGCGCGTCCGCTCGAATCCGTGTACATAACAATTTTGAATTTGTCGTTGTTTCTTGGGGGTCACTTAGCTATCTGGCTGTCGATCTCCACGGGAGGGGGGGTCGTGGTTTGCGTGGGGGTGGCACGCGGGGGGAGGAGGAGGAGGAGGGACAGAGGGAGGGAGGGGCCGTGCATGGCTTCTCTCTCATCTTCCCCTCTCTGCCTCTCTCTTTACTCCAGGAGGAGGAGAAGGACGCGAGGACGGAGGAAGGAAGGGGCCATGGACGGCACCTCCTTCCTCTCCTCTCTGCCTCTCTCTTTACTCCAGGAGGAGAAGGACGTGAGGACAGAGGAAGGGAAGGTGGGGCCGTGCACGGCACCACCTCCTTCTCCTCCCCTCCTCCCTCCTCTTTGCGCGCGCCGCCCCTGCTCCGCCGCTGCTTTTTTGTGGGCGGCGTATTTATCGTTGGGCTTCTTTGTGCTTCCTGTCGTTCGTCATTGTCGTGTCTCGTCCTCCCCGCGCCGGCGCCACCTACAGTGTCGCTCGACGCTGCCGGCGCCACCTACTGTCACCAGTGCCACAGGCGCCACCTGTCCTGTCGGGTGATGTCGCTAGAGCCACCTGTCATGTTGGGTTATGTCGCTAGCGCCACCTGTCATGTCGGGTTATGTCGCTAGCTCCACCTGTAATGTCGGGTGATGTCGCTAGCGCCACATGTCGTGTCGGGTGATGTTGCTAGCGCCACCTGTACTTTCAGGTGACGTAAGCGCCCCCTGTAATGTCGCTGTGTTGTTGGCGCCACCTATAATGTCGGGCAGCGTCGCCGGCGCCACCTATGGCGTCGGGCTGCATCGCCGGCGCCACCTATAACGTCGGGCAGCATCGCCGACGCCGCCTCGTTTTATTCGGACGGTAACGTTTTAAAAAAAGTAGAACGATTTGCTCTCTCGTCGAATGTCTCAACCATCCCCACCCCTCCCCTGCTTCTCCTTATTTCATATATTCCTTCCCCCTCCTGTGCTTTTGGGGACCCCCTCCCTCCCCCTTCTCCCAATCTGTGTGTGATTTTATGCGACCCCCCCCGCGTCGCGTCGTTCCCCCTCTCGCGCGTGCGATTAGCGGAGGCTCTATTTTTAACGAGGTGGGCGCGATTTTCCGGTTGGTCTGCGCGCAGCTGCTGTTGCTAGCGCGTCGCCCGCTGGTGACCGACTGACGACGCTCGGCGGCGGGTGGGGTCGCGCTCGCCACGCCCTCTGGAGGCGGCGGCTCGGCCTAAACAATCGAACGGTTCGCGCGTCGTTTTCGTTTTTTTCTTTCTTTCTTCCCTCCACGATTCCAATGTGACGGCGTGAGTTGAGGCATGAGATCTTGAGATGACCTTATATATTATTAATATAATTATAATATTAATTATATAATAATTATTGCTGTGTGTAGTTGATATATATGTGTAAAGATGCGTGGAACACATGATGATAAGTAAAAAAAAGTGGTTTTATTATAGAAATAATTTGCGTGTTTGTCGTTTTGTAAACTGCGTTCTTTTTGATCTCATTCTTCCTCTACTTCGTGTTCATCTCGTGAACAGAAGGCTCCTCCCTTCTTCCGTTTCTTGGCTTCTAACAAGGCTAACACTGGCTCTCCCGTTGCCAAGTAACATGCTTTCTCCCTCCCTCCATCGCTCTCTCTCTCTCTCTCTCTCTCTCTCTCTCTCGCTCTCTCTCTTTCTCCATCCCTCTCATCTCTCTCTCCATTGCTCTCTCATCTCCCTCCCTCCCTCCCTCTCTATCTTCCCCCTCTCTCTCTCTCTCTCTCTCTCTCTCTCTCTCTCTCTCGCTCTCTCTCTTCCTCTCCCTTCCTCCCTCCCCTCTCTATCTTCCCCTCTCTCTCGCTCTCTCTCCCTAACTACGTTTATAATGCTGCACATTGGATTGATGCATTCTTGACGCACTAGCTCCGTAAGCCCCTGCGTTCATTACAAATTCGATTACTTGTCCATTTTACAGCGAGTGCTGTTGTACACTATATATTATATGTTCCCCACACACTAGAGACACTCCCTTACAATTGCCCCTCCCCCAGATTTTCGCTTCGCGGAGAAAGAGCAGGCGCGCGCATAAAACGTCGATCGCGTCGTAACTGAATAGGCCTACTGATGAAAGACTCATCTCATCTGTTCATTTGACGCAGAAGGCGAAAAAAAATTACGCCGCTTCGCTAGACGCCAATTGGCAATTCAATAGAGTGAGGTGTATAGTAGAGATATAAATGAGTTGCGAAAATGGAAGTCCGGTACAAATTAATCAAAAGCACGTTTGCACAAACTCACAGGGATTGTATTTGTTCTGTGTTGGAATTCATTATAGTTTGAAATCAGTGACAACAAAGTCAACGTCAGCCGATCAGGGAAAAGCTTAGACCAATAAATTGTGCCCTACAAAATTTTATATTCTGATGTTATTTTAGGCCCTAAAATAACATCAGAATATAAATTTTTTTAGGGCACAATTTATTGGTCTAGGAAAAGCCCGGAGCGGAAAGCTGCTTCAATTGAAATCCGGCTTGTTGAACGACACACAACCTTTTTATTAACCTAAACCTGCATTTTATCGTTTAGAAATTTCTCGACCTTTGTCATAAACCGTTTTATTTTTACGAGAGCATTTTAATGAGTATTCTTATATCCATATTCATCAATTCACGCCAGGGGCGTAAATCCCGGGGGGGGGATGGGGGATGCTCCCCCCCCGCTCTTGAAGGAGGAGGGGGATGGCCTGTACAAATATCCCCCCTGAGATTCAAAGAAAAAGAGAGAAAAAAA